CTGTAGCTTTATAGTAAGTTTGAAGTCTGGTAATGTGATACCACCTGCTTTGTTTTTTTTGTTGAGGATTGTTCTGGCTATTCTTGGTCATTTGTGTTTCCATATGAATTCCTGTGTTGTTTTTTCTAAGTCTGAGAAGAATGCTGCTGGTAATTTGATAGGTATTGCATTAAATTTGTAGATTGCGTTAGGTAGGAAGGACATCTTCACAATATTGATTCTTCCAATCCATGAGCATGGGATATTTTTCCACTTGTTTGTGTCATCTTTGATTTCTTTGAGCAGTGTTTCATAGTTTTCATTGTAAAGGTCTTTCACGTTTCTGGTTAGGAAGATGCCAAGGTATTTCACTTTTTTTGTGGCTATTGTGAATGAAATTGTGGTTTTTATTTGGGTTTCTGTTTATTTATTATTGGTGTAAAGAAATGTGGTTGTCTTTTGCACATTTATTTTATATCCTGAGACTTTGTCAAAGGCCTTTATCAGAGTAAGGAGGTTTTTGACAGATTGTCTAGGGTTTTCAAGGTACACAATCATGTCGTCTGCAAAGAGAGATAACTTGACTTCCTCTTTTCCTATTTGGATACCCCTGATTGCCTTCTCTTCTCTGATTTCTCTAGCCAGGACTTCCAATACTATATTGGACAGGAGGGGTGAGAGTGGGCATCCTTGTCTTGTTCCAGTTTTCAGGGGAAATGGTTCCAATTTTTGTCTGTTTAGGAGTATGCTGGCTGTGGGCTTCTCATAGATGGCTTTTACTAGTGAAGTATGTTCCCCGTATGCCTAGATGTTTGAGGGTTTTTATCAAGAAGGGGTGCTGGATTTTATCAAAAGCTTTTTCTGCATCTAATGATATAATCATGTGGTTTTTGTTTTGACATCTGTATTTAATTGCATTTATGGTTTTACGAATGTTGAACCAGCCTTGCATCCCAGGGATGAAGCCTACTTGGTCATGATAGATAATTTTTGAGATGTGTTGCTGAATCCAGTTCACTAGGATCTTGTTGAGAATTTTAGCATTTATGTTCATCAAAGATATTGGCCTGTAGTTCTCTTTCTTTGTTGGGTCTTTACCTGACTTGGGTATCAATGTGATGTTAGCTTTGTAAAATGATTTGGGGAGAGTTCCATCTTTCTCAATCACCTGGAATACCTTCAGTAGGATTGGTATCAGCTCTTCTTTAAATGTCTTGTAGAATTCTGCTGGAAAGCCATCTGGTCCAGGGTTTTTTTTTTTTTTGTAGGTAGTTTTCTTATTACATAGTCAATTTCCTTGATTGCTATTGGTCTATTTAGGGTCTCAATCTCTTGGCAACCTAGGCAGATTGTGTGATGACAGAAAGTCCTCCATTTCTGAGAGGTTTTCAAGTTTGTTTCCATACAAGGGTACATAGTAGTCTCTAATGATCTTTTGTATTTCTTCAGGATCAGATGTGACTTCATCTTTTCTGTTTCTGCTTGTGTTTATTTGGGCTTATCTCTTTTGCTTGGTCAGTCTAGCTAGGGGACCACCGATCTTGTTTATCCTTTCA